CCGCCCCGCCGCCCGCGCACCGGTTAGAACGCGTCCGCCCGCCGCGCCGTTCCAGCCGTCACCCGCCCGCCGCCAGCCGCGCCGTGTCGAGCCGCGCCGCATGGTGCGCAGCCGGCGCACCGCGCTGAGTGCGCAGCGCGCCGGTGCCGCGAACATGTTCGAACAGGTAGGTGCGCAGCCGGCGCGCGCCGGCTGCGCAATGCGCAGCTGGTGCACCAATCACAGGCCGCTACGCGGCGCTGCAGGCGCCGAGGCGCGGGTATAAAGCTAGAGCGATCGGAGCGGTCAGGCATCATTGTCCCTCCGGCTTCGTCCGCGATACATCGTCCCTCCGGCCTCGTCCGCGATACACTCTGCCATTTCTCTTCGCACCTCTCCCCGGTCTTCGCACCGCTCCTCGGTCTTCGTGCCGCTCCTTGGCCTTCGCGCCAATCCCTTCCTCGGACTTCGTGCCACTCCCTTCCTCGGCCTTCGTGCCACTCCCTTCCTCGGCCTTCGCGCCACTCCTCGGCCTTCGTGCCACTCCTCGGCTTTCGCGCTCATCCTCTCACGCTTGTCTCCTCTCCCGCTGCCATGGGCTCCAAATTTTTGGAGATTCTGGACGAGTGGGAGGAAGGCATGTTTATGTTTCCGGAGCTGTTGGCAGAAGCATACAAGACGTTTCTCGGGCAGCTCGTTGGAGCCACGGCAGCAGAGCGGCAAGACCCAAGGGTCATTCCGTTCTTGCTCGCTGGCTACCAGGCGTACTTGAAGGACCTGAAAAGCCCTGATCCTCAAGCAGCCCTAACCTACCGCATGGCCCTGGCCATGGTAGGATGCGGGCCCAACGCTCCTTCCCGTGCTGTCGCACCTCCACCACGCCCCTCCACGCCACCGGTACACCCCGCCACGGCACCACCACGGCCCGCCACGCCACCGGCAAAGCCCGCCACGCCACCGCCCGCCACTCCGAGGTCACCATCCCCTCAGCCAGGTCCCTCAAAGCATAGGTCACCATCTCCACAGCCAGGTCCCTCCAAGCAGAGGTCACCTTCGCCTCAGCCAGGTACACCCCATCCCCCTGAGGCCCCTAAGCGGCAAAGGGTGGAGGATGAGGAGGAGGAAGGGCCTACGCTTGAGGTTCTGCAGACACGTGAAAGGGAACTTAAGCGTTTCCAAACAAAGTTTCGCGAGGAAGTTATGCTTATAAAAGGGTTGGGTGATTCTCTTCCCCCGGAGGAGACCATGACTGCACTGTTCGACACGGTCTTAAACCGGCAGCGGGCAGCTGTTGGGGCCAAGGATGATGACAGGGTCATCTTAGAAACAGAAAACGCAGAGAACTCAGAAAATCCGGTGTGGCTCTCCATGAGAAAATGTAGTCAACTCAATGGGGAAGTGGTCCTTGACAAGCTTTCGCGGGTTCTTAACTCAAATCAATCCTTTTTAGTCAATGGCATACTAAAGATCAATTATATTCATGTAAAGACGCCAGAGGCGGGAGGTCGTCGTAGAAACAGGGTCACTAATGAAAGCACAGATCAGTGGCTGGAAAGGAAAATAGATAGCAAGACCATTTGGTCTCCGGCCAACAGGGAGGATGCCATGTGCCTCACAAGGTGTGTAGCTGTGGCAAAGTCTCGTGAAGGGATGCACTATCAGGCCTTTGCTCGCTTGAAAAAGGCAACATCGACCATTCAACGGGATGAAGCTAAGAGGCTATGCGAGGCTGCCCTGATAGACCCTGCTCAGCCCTGTGGAATTGATCAAGTACGTCAGCTGCAAGCTGTCCTTCCAGATCATCGTCTGTGTCTTTTCTCTGATAAGAAGGGCGAATGTATATTTAAGGGGCCTTATTCTGCAACCCGTAAAAATATTTATTTATTTTTACATAAGGAACATTTTTATGCCATATTCTACCCATGTCAGGCATTTGAATATGAATATGAGTGTGAAAAATGTGTTTCATTTTACAATAACCGGGGTGATCATCGTTGTGAAGGACACTGTTGGAGATGTTACGGCCCAACACCACATAATGAGGGACTCCGCCGGTGTGGGGATTGTAATCACCAGTTTGCGGGGGATGATTGGTGCATTTCACAAAAAGTGCGTGATTTCAGAACAGGAAAAAAATGACTTTTTCACCTCGAACTCGGAGGGGGACACGGCGGCGGCGGCGGCGGGAAATAAGATCGGCTGATCCGGGAGAGGACAGGTGCAGTATGATCTCATCGCGGAGGTGACCGGGAGGGGACAGGCCATCCCGAGCTTGTCCGGATACTGGCCGGGAGGGGACAGGTCTATTCCGATCTCGTCGGGGAGGTGACCGGGAGGGGACATGCAGGTACCTCCGAGCGTATCAAGACGGCGACCGGGAAGGGACATGCTCGGACCACGACGTCAGGGACTTGCCGCTCGTCAGAATGCTGACCGGGAAGGGACACCATGTTCGGACCTCGCCGAGCAGGTGACCGAGAGGGGACACTCTGGTCCCGACTCGCCGATGAGGCGACCGGGAGGGGACACACTGTTACGACTTGGCCAGTGAGGTGACCGGGAGGGGACAAACTGCTCCGACCTCGCCAGTGAGGTTGACCGGGAGGGGACAGGGTATTCCGACTTCGCCAGTGAGGTGACCGGGAGGGGACAAACTGTATACCGACCTCGCCAGTGAGGTGACCGGGAGGAGACACACTCTTCCAACCTCGCCAGTTAGGTGACCGGGAGGGGACACATTGTACCGACCTTGCAAGTGAGGTTACCGGGAGGGGACACATTGTACCGACCT